TTCATCCCGTCATTGTTGTCATTTCAACTCTATGCCGTGTCCCAAATCTTTATCAACCTCATCCAACAGCTGGCCGTATGACAATGCCACGTGTGAGGTGATCCACAACGGAAAACTCAGCAAGGCGGTCGAAGTGAATACAGGACTAAAACAAGGCTGCCTGCCTATTATCACCGGTGATATTCTTAATTTTGGTGGACTGGATTATGCGTCAGACTGTGCACAGGGAGTGAGAAGACCGGAGGAATACACTGGCCCACCGATAAGAAGACTCTAGGAGATGTCTGGATTTCGCGTGCGGATGATTTATGTTTAGTGTCACACAAACTCGAAGAGTTGCACGCAAAAACCAACGAACTAGCGGAAGAGGCTGGCAGCGAGGACAGGACTCCAGGTGAACACAGAGAAGACGGAGGTGATGAAGATAACCAACCAACAACAACCAATTACCATCAGCGGATGACATTTGACAGAGGTTACTTCCTTCACTTATCTGGCTAGAAGGCCCTGTTCCAACCACAGGCAATGGGAATGGATGAAGATGTCAAGGCCAACCAGAATCGGCAAGGCAAAATACACCTTCATCAACCTGAAGCCAGTTTGGAAATCTTCCGCGCTCAGCATAAGGAAGAAGATTCGCATTTTCAATACCAATGTAAGGCCGGTTCTTCTATACGGGTCAGAAACTTGTCTAGTGTGCCACGAAAAGGATTTCTTACAGGTTGCAGATTTTCATAAACAGCTGCCTGCCTTCTCTGGCTGGTTCCATACTGAAGGTCAAATGGCCGGCTGGCCAGAAAGAGTAAGTGACAAGAAACTCTGGCCAAGAGCCGATTGCTCAACAAATATGTAAGGGAAAATGGTAATGGATCAGGCATACGTTAAGGAGGCCGTCGTATGACATCATGCGCAATGCAGGCCATCACTCGAGTGGAATTCAACTGGTAAGCGATGAGTGGGCCGTAATTATTGGGGTGACTTGGAGGAGATTGTGTGGCAAGGAGGAGATGAGAGATTATGGGGAATTGCGGACCCAGTTAAAGAGGATGGTAGAAAATAGAAGAAAGTGGATGTGTGTTTTTGAAGCCCTATGTTCCACTGGGAACCCAAGAGAACAGTAATAATAATAATAATGATTGTTGTTAATAATTTCAAATAATATTCTAATCAACGAATTAAGACGGATTTCTTTTTCTAACCCAATTCATGTCATATCATTACTTTTAGGAGTTAGTCTGATAAACCCCTAACAATCATCTGCCAGTCCTCACGTGGCCTCTTTTGGAGGATGGCATTTGTAGCTGGTATGTCCCTGTTCATTGTCCGACCATCTATTTTTCCCTTTATCCTGTGAAAAACAAATTCAATTGCATTATTGTCACTGTCGCAAGCGTGGTACATTACACAGCAAAATTAATGCTTTCTTTTTATTTGGGATTTAAGATTTTATTGTAAGTTGTATATTGGTCATCAAAGTGTACTTGACTAACTGATTTTCAAAGTAGGACTTTTTGCACAAAAGTGAGGCAGTCTAAGATGCCAACTCCTATTTTATCACACGATGGTAGAGAAAAGCAGAAATATAATGTAGATAAATGTACGGGAGAAAGAATAAGTTTGAGCGGAATTATAAGGATATAATGGATTTGAGAGATTACAAAGTTAATGTATCCATCGAAAACGACTTTATGTGAAATTAACCAACAGTCTCCCGTCACTGATTCTTAGCATTTCCAGCCCCCCCCCCCTACGTAGATTAAACCAGACAGTAAAAAACTTATTGGAGTGACGCTATGTTCTGATTGAATCACCTCTAACTCTTTTTCAAACATTTTTTATATCAGCCAACATTGCCCGATGAGAATGGTCATGGCTCAGTATGTGTGTCCTAACCGTTTCAATTGATGTAAATTCACGACCTCATCGATTAACTTTCTTTCCTTACCGAACACTACTCTTAACCTCACTACTATTTATCACAATATACCAATAAACATGGGAGACTGAACGCAAACACCTATGGTCAAAAACAACTAACTTCTGCATACCTTCCACTTTCAGCGGCTCCATGTCTCACAGTCATAAAGAAGAAGAGAGCAAACTTCTGCGCACATTGTTTTGATTGAAGTTATTTTGAACTCTGACCTACACTGAATGGTTGTAAATGCATCCCTGCGTAGCTTTTTGTATGCATCTGGATGTTCTGTAACATTCCTACTAAAATAATATCAGTGAACTCCTTTGGGTTACTAATAAATCTGATGAATGAACGCCAATATTTGACCTCCCAACAGAAAGAAAGCACCTTTAAACTAAATCACCATGGTCTCTGATATTTTCTTAACTCATTCAAGTGACTGAAAGTGTTTGAGTTAGATTCAGTACGTATTGAGTTTGAGCAAATTTCGTCCTGCTCTCCTGTTGTTGGTATGGATTACTGCAATTGAAACCTTCAATCATTTTGTATCCGTGATGTTGCTGAATTAGTTTCCTTGGATTTTAAGAAACTATGGTTTATTTAGGAACTTAGTTTTTCATATACTAGGGAGAGTGGGTATTATTAGTATTATTCCATTGGGTTCTGAGTGGAACTTAGGGCTTCAGCAACAAATATCAAATACATCCCGTTCTCTGCAGTCCTCTTTGGCTGGCTTCACTATTACCCATAAATTCTCCATCTCCTCTTCACACGATTTCCTCCTTGTCATTGTCGAACTCATGCCCAACTCGTCGTTCCCCATTCAGGTCATAATCTAGGGTCTGTCACATAATGCCACTCAACAGTCTCCTCAGCGTGTGTCTAAACCATCTTTATTTTGCTTCGAAATCCTTATTGAACAATAGAGTTCCTTGTTGCGGATGCTTTCTGAGCATCTAATCTTAAGTATTGGAGTGACGGCTACTTGTTGATAAAAGTCTGAAATCTGTTCAATATGCTTTCGGGTGACACACGCGCCAAGTCTTGAAACCCTATAAGAAGAGCTAACTGGATATTAGCGTTGAAAATGCAAATCTTATTCCTTATGCTGAATGCAGGAGATCTCCACTGTAATTTCAAAGCGATGAGGTTCTGTCCTACTTTTCCGATCCTATCTTTGAAATCCTCGTTAGTGCCGGATGTCTGTATTTGATAGGATGCTGTCTAGAGTGAGAATGAGCAGTGTGATGGAAGTTACAAAGAGAAGTTTTCAGTTGGAGGATTTGAGAAACAGTTTCCCTGTCCAGTCTTTATAATTTATTTATTTAGGTTTAAAAAAGATTCAGTTTATTTTAAGGTCATTCAGCCACTCATTGTTTTATCTTATTAATCTGTTTTTCAATCTTTCTATAGGTATATATGTGTGAAATAGTCTAGAATAAATATAATTGGTGGCAGTTTAATTTTCTTCAATTTATTTCAATATTATGTTTTCGTTCGTAGATCAATTGTTCTTCTATTGTGCAATATATGATGGACTGTTATGATCCTTTGTAGGAAATAGTACATCTCTCTGTAAGGTTATTCAAATCACAACAATCGTAATAATAATAATAATTTTCTATGATTGGTTTTTAAGGATTAGACTTATTTTTAGAAGTTGATCACAGATTGATATCAGTTAGAGAACCATTGGAAACTAGGGAGTACTGGACAGCTGTTTTATCCCCGTTTGGGAATCATCGTCAGTACGTACCCACTGGGGTTCGAACCCAGGCACTTCCTGTTACAAGGCAAGCTCGTATACCATTCAGTCACTGGAACCCGATTCAATGGCCAGACCATGAGTTCTAACTTCTACCAGTCCGTGATTTAGCGCGACTCACCGGTAGAAGTTAGAATTCATGGTGTGGCCATTGAATCGGGTCCCAGTGACTGAATGGTATACGAGCTTGCCTTGTAACCGGAAGGTCCTGGGTTCAGTGGGTGCGTACTGACGATGATTCCAAAGCTAGGATGAAACAGCTTTTCTGTACTCCCTGGTTTTCAATGGTTCTCTAACTGATATTAATTCGTAACCAACTCGTAAAAATAATAATAATAATAATAATGGTAGTTTAATTATAAACTGTGTGAGGTTCATGTTGCATAATTTGTGCGTTAAGATCAAGAAAAAATCAGCCGGACTTGTTTTAAGGTGTAGCTGTATGTTGTATTTGTAATGTCAATATTTAGACGCTTATACACGATGGCTTTTCGATCTCAGTTATCACTATCAATGCGCTTTTTCTGCCTGAACGTGAAGTTTTTTTTCTAAAGTAGATGTACTCGTACTTTCATCAGAAAACAATCCTTATCTATTGTATTTCAAGTATATACTGGTACAACGTTGTACATATTAATTTCTTTTTTATCAATGTACTAATAATTCATTAGTGTAGGTACTGGTCTCATAACTAGTGTGTCCTATGTAAAGAAATGTTGACACCCGGCAGGTATCACTACTTCGTCCTTGGTAATTCTGGTGTAGAGACTAGTTCAGGCAGCGCTTAGTGTTCCTAGAATGTTTATAATTTTCGTGGAATTGAATTATTCAAGAATCCACAGTACGTTTCAGTTACTTTAAAGATTAAACTAAATAGAAAATAATTTATGCAGTTGTTCCTAATTATAATACTTCATTTTGTTCTCCTCCTACATTTTCAAGTAAGCGACAGTGTATTTTTCTGATGTGATGACTGTGGATTGATATCACCTAGACCACCATTGATCTTTCGTGTTTGTTTATGACTCTTCAGTAGTAAGCACCTATATCTCCTCGGAGGTTTGAACACGGGACCTTCAGCTTACGGTGCGAGCGTACAGCTTAAGAGCCCCCAAACTGCGAGGAAGCAGCTGTGTCTAGTACTCCCTGGTTTTCAGTGATTCTCTAACTGATATCAATCCATAATCAGAACTGGAACTACTCAAATCCTCGCAGACTAACACTAGAGTAAGAATACTCGACTATGCTATTCTATATTCTGACTTTCAAGTGATTATTTAATTCTTTCTTTTTTTTTAAATTCCTACAAAACTTTAGCTTCTGTGTCATGGTACTCTACCGAAATGGGTGAATAGGTTAGCTCGTATTGTATCCGGATTACCATTCATTGAATCCTTCCTACCACCACATTGGGTTCGACCTAGTTTAATGTATGACTGTGATTATGATGAGGAAGATTTCCGAGAAGAAGAAGAAGTAGAAGACGATGAAGTGGTGAAGACATTTTCGGAAGATGAGAAAGAACAAAAAGAAAAAGAAGAAGACGAAGAACCTAAAGTGAATACTGAAAAAAATAATCGGAATCTAGTCATAATCAATGAGACGCCTACTACTACTACTACTACCACTACTACGGCAACTGAATCTACTGATAAACTGAAAAATATCACTAGCACTAGTAATTCTACAACTCATTACAAAGAGGCAGATGATCAGAATGTACAATGCTCTAATGACTCTTTAATGAAGACATTTACAGAAAAACCACACTTTCAATTTGTTTATTCTGCATCTACAGGCAATGGGCATGTTCCACATCATAACAACAACAGTAATAATAACAATAAACACTCCATTGATCATTCAGATAATCATCACAATGCATCATTGTGTAATATTAGAATGGTGTGATTAATGAATAGAAAAACAAAAGAGAAAGGAAAGCAACATGTCAATGTGTATAAATGAGGAATATACTTCTTACTATTCAGTTCTTCCAAATAACAATGAATTATACTGGACATTATTACTATTATTATTATTACTTTTTTTACTCGACATTAATTACCTATATTGTTTTTGTAAAAAATAATTCTATCTGAGCACCTGCGGATATTCATGCAGTCTACTTGATGAATTATGAGTACATTCTGGAGAAAGGGATCAAATACATTTTTGTATTCATTCCCGTTTAATTTCTATGGGTAGCCTCCGTCCTGGCCCGCACCTACCCAACCCCCGCCAATATACTATCTTTATTCTCAGCGAATTAAAGTATGCTCAAATTCCTGTTGTTTTGATACATATTGTAGGCTGTTTGTCTTTTTTGTGTGTGTGTGCCGCCTTTGTGATAGTATTGGAAACTTTTTGTATTGGCCGATAGCTAGCAGCCAGCGAGCCGTTAACTGATAATCGTTTGTTGTATTCATCATCAGGTGTAAATTCACTCTGTTTTTTCTCTTTCCGTTTTTGATAAGCGTCTTTCTGTGTTACCTCCACCCACCCCCCACCCAATTCATTGACTTTCTTTTTGCCGTAATTTGCTCCCATTATTACTCTGAGTTGTCTCCATATCGCCTTTTGTTTGTTTTGTAAATTGTCTATCTTGTTGATTTTTGTATTGTTGAATATCTTGACAATTTGACCAGACTAACGTTTGTTTGATTTGTATGCGTCTTTCTTTGTCTCTTCATAATTTGATATTACTTTTTTTAAAAAGCTAATTTGTACTTGTTTTTATTATATAATGACACTTGCTTATATAAATTTGGTATATATTTTAAAGATATATATAGATATATATATATATGATTTCAAGTATAGTTTCGTTTATTTTCTCAACGGAGCATATACTACGACATAATTTATCCAAAACGTGTAATGTATTTGTGTAAGACATTTCGGACATTATCATCATCTATCTGCTTGTCATCAATGATCTTCCTGATTGCAATTGATTGGATAATGCGACAGACAACGGCAACCAACGAGGGAACAGGCATAAAATGGACTGACACAAAAGACTTGGAGGATCTGGATTTCGCCGATGATATATGTCTGATTTCCCATAAACTGGAAGATATGCAAGTGAAAAGTAACAAGTTTGCAGAAGAAGCATCAAAGATAGGACTTCAAGTGAACATAGATAAAACAGGTGATGAAGATTCCTAGCCAACATCAACAGCAAAAACAACAGACAACAATCAGCATAAGTGGGAAGAACCTGAAAGAAACAACCTCCTTCACCTACCTGGGAAGCATCGTCTCAACTACAGGCGGAACTGACGAGGATATCAAAGCCAGAATCGGAAAAGCAAGACAAGCTTTCATTACTCTCAAATCTGTGTGGAGGTCAACAGCACTCACCATCAAAAATAAGATCCGGATTTTCAACTCCAATGTAAAGTCAGTGCTACTCACTATTCGGATCAGAGACTTGGCCAGCGCGTCATAAAGAGCATCTCAAACAAACTCCAGATCTTCATCAACAGTTGTCTTTGCTCAATACTCAAGATCAGATGGCCAGAAAAGATCAGCAACAGGGATCTCTGGGAGCGAACCAACCCAGCAGGAACCGATTGTGAAACAAATAGGCAGGAAGAAATGGAGATGGATTGGTCATACTCTGAGGAAACCATCAAGTGACATCACTAGACAAGCCATTGCTCGAGTGGAACCCGAAAGGGAAGCGGCGAGTTGGTCTTCAGTGCAAGGGTGACTTGGAGGAGGAGATGAAAGCATGTGGACAGACTTTGAACGGGTTGAAAAAGTTGGCAGAAAACCGAAGTCAATGGAGGTGCGCAGCTGAAGCCCTATGTTCCTCTAGGAACTAAAGGATACAATAATAATAATGTGCTTGTCATACATAGTTTGTAGGCATATGATTGGTTTCAAGTTGGGCATCGGATTGAGAATTAGTTAGAGAACCATTGGAAACAAGTTGGGAGGACTGAAGAGTTGTTTCGTCTTAGTTTGGGACTCATGGAAAGTACGCACCAACTGGATCTCGAACATAGGAACTTCTGGTTACGTGGTGAGCTTGTAGACCATTCAGTTACTGTAAACCTACTCAGTGGTCCGTGAAATCTACCAATTCGTGACTTTAGCGCCACCATCAGCCAGTGTCATCGTTGGCGAGTACTTGCCCTCACTCCAGACCGGGTGTACACTACTGGTCACAACTTCTCATTAGAATTCCAGGCAAATTCATCACGTAGGCATTAACTAGTGAGCATCAGATTAATTTTCAAGAGGTAGTTTTTAGGGTAACAGAACATAAATTGTGAAACCGTGTGACTAAACTGTGATATGATTATGGGCAATAATTTCTACTCGAAACGTCATCCAGATATTAATATTATATCACTGTGTGATTGTTAAAATAAACTTATCTAATATGGAATTACATTCTACCACAGGGGGTCAAGTTCTCCATTTACATTAATAAAGGGTCACATTTTAGTCACATTGTTTTCGGCCATGATCACAGATGAGGGGTGTGAAAATATTATAAAGTGAAATAGACTTTGGTTTGAAAATTCGGTCACCAACTTAGGTTCAGAGTAATGACAAACAATTTTTGAACACAAAACAGGTTTAAGCCTTTTTTAAATGCACATGGCTTCAACGAGTTTATGTATGTGACCCAAACATGTTTTATGTATGGTTTTAATAAAAGCACTGCTGAAATGAGTTTTATGACCTGTCCCTATTATGTTTTGCAATAGGGTGACATTGGGCATCTACTTCCACGGTTGATTGAACCAAGTAATTTTATTCGTTATTGCAGTCAATAATCCTGACCTGCAGATATCAATGGGTCTTCCCTATGTAAGTAACTGTGACCAAATATACATGTAAATTGATAAACACAGTAGGATGTAACGCTATCGTTCGGATTCTGTAAGGATTTCAGTGATAACGTAAATTTTGTTTTCTCTATGAAAATGAGTTAACCTGCATAGTAAGTTCGGTTGAGTACCTGTCTGAATCTTTATTTAGGGATCTCTCTCGAACGGCAAAGATATATAAACAGTCATTTTAGGAGTTATAGAAGCGCGAAACAAAGGGCTGCAATCAGTCCCTAGAAAGGAAGGCTGAACGTTAGGTTGGTAACGTCAACCCATAAAAAAACTTCAAAGCTTGAAGTTATATATTCCTCTAGGAACAGAAAAAATTCATGAAGATTGAGATCTAGTCTAATTCTCTATTGTGTTATCGGGGCAAAATGTCCTATATGAAGACAGTGTGATTTGCGGTAGAATATACTACTTAAATAACTCCCATGAGATGTTTATAAGCTACCTTCTACATTACTTGTAGAACTGCATTGCGAATAACTGGTGTGTATGTATATGCATGCGTATTTGTGTATCACGAACTCCTAATCACACGTTAATTAGTGATAACTGAAGATAAGACCTGAAAAATCACTTCTTATAGAAGTAGGTAAGAATTCAGTCGTACAATCTGATTTTTATTCATTCACCTCTTAGTACTTTACTCGAATTGTGATCAAGATTTAACCGAATAGTTCTACAAAAATAGGCCACCGATTGAAGGACAGACATATGTAAAAATCATATTTATAGAATTTTAGCGAAATTGAAATAAATAATTTCAGAGTTTTGTCCGTCAGTCTGGTCCGAACTTCTTCAAAGAAATTAAAATGAAGGTATATACATCAAAGGACACGTCTTGTCTTTAAAATCCTTGTCGAATCATGGGAGTCATAGAGAGACATCAAAACAAGATTGCATGAACTGTAGTCAAAATTTAACCACACATCTGTCATTAGTCTGTTTTGCTATATACTGTAAACAGTGTGCTTTTGCATCAAAACTTAGTGATCGTGTTCAACTATAGGCGACATACAGTAATGTGTGTGTGTGAGTGTGTGTACGCATGGGAAAACAACTACATATCATTTGTCAGCTTTTACATAAGAAGATCGGGAAATATAGATTAAACGTGAGAAATTAGTGATACATATTCTTTTTATTTATTAATCAGTTGACACGCATCAGCTAACATTACACCTTTACGTCCGGTTAAACTTTTGGAATTCATCCATGTATGATGGCTTTCCTCAGTCAGTCTTTCATCGTATCAACCAAAACATTTCTACACAACTTTGTTCCTATCAAAGTCCATCTTGTTTCCCGTTTCTGTCATATGAAATGCAATTGCTGTTTTGTTATCTAGCTTTTTCAAATCTCCAGATCTCTTTGGAACCGGCTTTAAGTATTGTTCGTACTCTTTGAAATTTACCTGTCTGGAAGTTTCTCCTACATATATAACATCACATTCCCCACTATTTATCTGGTACAGGCAGTTTTGTTGGTTGTCTTCTATTTTGTCGGTTGGAGGAATTCATCATGAGCTGACATCAGTTAGAGAACCATTGGAAAACCTCGGAGTACTGAAGAGCTGTTTCGTCCTAGTTGGTGACCTATTATCAGTACGCATCCATCGATAGGGTTCGAACCCAGGACCTTCTGATTACAAGCCTGGCGAGTTGGTAGACCACTAAGCCACTGGGACTCGATCCTATTTTATCCCTAACCTCATTAGTGATGACCGTAAGATATTCGCCGCACAAAAATACACTCTTATGTCATGAATGGGAAGAATTCGCCTTATATCGATTATATGTTAACGATAAGGACTACGTTCCTAGCTGCAGGCTTTGACGCATCTTTACCTCCACCTTCTAAATATCATTTAATAAAGGCTTTCGTGAAATCATTTGATTCTGGAGTAGACTGAACCAATTTTAATTCCTTGTTGGCTTCTTCTTCCTCAGTAACTAGACGTTTGGCTCTGTTTAGTCAAATTCTTAGTCATAGGTACTTTGGTAGTAAATGGATGTGCCGCATTGTAATCCATTTATCTCTCCGAATGTGTAGGCT